CTGTAAAGTGAGTGGACGCTAGAGATACGCAGTTGTGTTGCGCCTGATATTGGCGACGGGGAGTTATAGTTCAGCTATGATCGTTGATCATGTAGAGTTGCTTATCGGTATAAGTATCATTGCAAGGTGGTTTTCGGATTATCATGGGTGTGTCAACTTATTTTCACTGTGATATAGTACAGCCAAGCGCTGGGAAGTAGGATAGGAACGATTGCTGGTAGAGTGTCTCTGTGCAGACGGCTGTTTATGACGAGAGATGTAGAGCTTGTATATCGCAGTCGTATATCAGAGAGAAGATGCAGTGATGTGATCGACGAGAGTGCATAGAGTATGGTCGAGATCGCGGTTTGTGCAGATATCGATGAGACTATCACTGAGGCAGGGATGACCTGGTGTGGCTGCGCTGTTGAGATGCATTGTCGTTGGAAGTCTTATACGCGCAGTGCTTTCATCAATTTGAGGCGCGAGAGAGTCGATAGAATAGTTAGCAGAGATGTATAAGTGCGGATGATGTAGATGCGTGAGTGATAGTATATAATTGGTTCTCGCTCATGTTTGTGCGCATAAGTGGCATACTGTGTCGAAGCTTAGATAACGTGTTATAAGGAGACAGAAAGAACGTTATTGCTTTGCTAGTTTCTCTCGTCGGCTCTCTTTCTCGGTCTGTGTCTGTCTGTCTGTCTCTCTCGTCTCTCATCGTCTTCTCTCTCTCTCTCTCTTCTTCCTCTCTCTCTCGATCTCTCTCCGCTCTCTCTGCTCTCTCTCACTCTCTCTCTCTTCTTCTCTCCTCCTCATCCTCTTATCGTCTCGATTTTCTATTGTCTGTCTTTACGACTCTCGTCACTCCTCTCAGTCTGCAAGGTGAGGGAGTCCCCCATATATCTTTGTTTAGCGATTGGTAATGAAAGTAGTGCATGTTGGTGAGAGTGCTGGCGACGTGAGTGAGCGGCAAATAACTTTGTAAATCTTTTATTAGTATATAGACTTACAGTGGATTATTGTATGTCAGTCAGTCGGATTTAACGCAAAATAAGGAACTCTGAATATTACCAAGATAGATATAGCCATATATATATATATGAGCTATAGAATATTTAATATATATATTTATAATTATATAATATGACACAACTACACATATGACATAGCATATCATACACACCAGCAATACATATATATAAATATATATATATTATTATCTATAGATATTATAGTATATATCATTATAAGTACATTAGCATATAATGATGTAGATAGTATATATGAAAATATAATGTATGATGATCTATATATAAATGTATATAATATTAGTGTATAATATAGTACATTATTGATTATATACTAGTGATATATAGCTTATGATCGCTGTACGCCATGATATATTATCAGTACTTTGGAAGGTATTATGTTATGACCATGTGGATAGGCTATATGTAGTCAGCTATGACTATACCATACATAACATATGTATTGTATATGTAATATTGCGATTATATATTATATAATATACATATATATATACTACACAAACACAGCACACATCTGGCACACATCACACACACACAGCAGCACAAGACACACACAACAGCATAGCTTGGCACACACAGCACAGCAACACGACACACACAAGCACACACACTTCCAGATAGCAAACAACACAGCATCACACACAATATATATATGTATATAATATATAATATATATATATATAATATAAGTATATAATATAATATGATATATATTATATATGCAATATGTAAAGGTATGTTATTATACATTATATATTATATATATATTATATATATATATATATAATTATATAGTAATATATTATATATATTCATATATTATACATATAGCTATATTATATAA